AGAAACCCTGCCAACTGGAAAAGGTTTGCTGTGTTTGTTCAGCAGTAGGAGGAAGAGCGAGTAAGGCAATGTGAAGGAAGGAGAAATAAAATATTTTAAGGGAACATGTATATTATGAAACATGTTGTCATTTGGTTTATTATACTGCGCTGTGAGTTTTTTCACAATACTCATGTGTTGAGACAGTTCGATGTAATCACCCTCCCTGTTCATATTGGCAATGAGGGAATCCCTTCTTAGCAAGACTCCACTGTAAAAGATGAGGCACAAAATGCACCCAAAGTTCAGCTGGAGTTAATACAGGGCCAAAAGGAAACTAGAACATCCAGGTTATGTTCCAGACATAAGAAAAGCTCATTAAAAACCCCACAACTTGACAGAATAGACAAGTACATGAGCAAATCGAGGATTCGCTCAGACACATTAAAATGTTCACCTAAACTGCCCATTGTAAAGTTTTATTCACTAGCTGCTTCAACTGCTTCTGTTCTCCCTGTAACTTTGTGCAAAATTTCCTGTGTTTTTCTGTGCAATGAATTAACAACATTCAGGTCAGATAAACAGTCAGTTTTTCCTACCTTGTGTTACTTGCCCATTTGGACCTATTTTTAGTGATCAATTTCCAAGATCTAGTTACCATAACTGATGGAACTGATGACCAAAGCTATGAAAAAGCAAAGCTGTACTAAACTGTAGTTTTTCTTTGAAGGTACTGGTCTAGTAAAGTGAGGTGTGGCTTTCACAGAGAATGCTGACTGAGAAAATGCAGTGCGACAAAAGGCTACAGTACAGCCCTCTTGGAAGTCAAATCAAGATTTTATGGTGTTCTCAGAATTAAGATACATAGTCAGTCACGGAGAAGGGGCTTTTGAGAAAAAGTGAGATTAGAGTAGAGTTCTAGTAACACACAAGGAAGTATACCGAAAGCAGTAGAGTAATTCTTTCTGTTCTTATTTAGAAAATTAATTATATTCCTGTGAGTGTGCATGTGTGTGCATGTGTGTGTGTGTGTGTGTGTGTGTGTGTGTGTGTGTGTCTGGGGGGGTGCAGTGCTCTGCCACGTAAAGCATATTTCAGCCTACTCAATATGGTTCTCATTATACTGCAAAACATTTAGCCAAGACTCACTGTCTGCATCCCTTTCTCTCTCTGTGTCTCTTGCACAAACTCCATTTCTTTTTCCAACATATGACTGACTGCACCTTTCTTTCTCTCTCTCTCTCTCTCTCCCCTCTCTGTAATGGCACACTTGCTTAAATACCCTACTGTAAGTGTTTTGGGGGCATGCATGTAAACTTTCTATCCGTTAATGTTTCTGCATTTTTTGTGAATCACAGTTATAGCCAGCTGAAACCACATTTGTAAAACTCTTTTTTTTGGCTTTTGAGTGAAGCAGTTATTGCTGAGGTATTCCATAGTTTGTCTGTCTGTGTTTGGTCGTCAGAACACAGAAGTCTTTGCTATTGGCTGTTCAGGTCAGTCTCTTACTGCATATGGGATTACTGGAATACTGTATTGTGGATTTATTTGCCCTACTGTTTGCCAATGTGTTTGTTAAATCCCCTCTTTTAGTGTAGAGTTTGTATCTGTACCTAGCCCTGACACACAAACTCATCAGTATTAACCTGCGATCTGTATGTGGTTAATGACTTTTGATCACATTTTTGTGCATTTACACCTGTAGCATTAAGTGGTATTGTTATCTCAATATGCAAATTACGTATACGGGCCTAGGAGCTGGTGGACTGGTTAACAACATGACGCATCCCAGGTGAAAGGAAGTGATGCTGCGTTATGCGCATGTTCCTCTTGCAGAGGAAGGGCTGTGTAGATTTAAGATAGGCAGAGTGAGATTAGAAGAGGCGCAGTAAGATGACCTTTCAATTCTGCAAGATGTGAGTTGTTGCAGTAAGATGATGGCAATAACTTGAGTCAGTGTTGTTTGTTGTGTTGGTGTAACATTATTACTCCTTTTCCTCATTACCACCGTTTCCTGTAACAATCTGCCTCTCATGATATTTCAGAGCGAATTGTCCTTGAGCGAGACTTCAGTTTCCTGTTGAAAACAAAAGGTGTCACTCATAGGGTTCCTTTCCATGATTTTGTCAGACACCTGGACAGTCTGATTGCCAGCGGTGAAGCATGCCAAACAGGCCTGGCACACTCTCTCAATCAGTGCCAAAGGCAGTCAGCACTAGTCTATGAGGCATATTCTAACACAAAGTCCATTTACAACTCCACAGGCAAAGACACATGGGCTACAGGTGCCTAGATGCACTAAACTTGGAGTAAACAACAGATTTATCTAACATTGAGTGACTTCTTCATAACCAAAATGCAAATTATTAAAGATAATTTTTTTAGCAATTGTTATACCTGCTTTCTAAATTTTCATCCTCCTCTCCTTCATGGTGGCAAATCAGGCAGGAATGCATGGGTCTAACTCAGAATACAATGAACGAAAAGAGCAAACTTCGTCCTTTGCGTCTACTCTTAGTTGTTATCTGGGGGTCCGGTTTGATCCTCCTCTGAGCATGGGCGCCTTATAGGGGGGGAAAGTTAGGACAATTCCAAGGGCCCCTGACTGACAGGGGCCCCAAGAAATAATTATAAATAATATAAAATTATATTATACTATACATTATATAAACCATCATCATTGAGTATAGATATATTTCAAATATAATAATAAAAAGAATGATCTCTTTGTTTTTACTTGTTTTTTGCCAGTAAAAGTTAAATATCCCCACTGACCGAAAAGTAAACCTCCATATTGACCGACCACCCCCCTGTATCTGCTTGAAATGGTTTGGTCCTGCCTTTGCGCACTCATCAGTGACAGTGTTCAGATGCAGTCAGTAGATGAAACACAGTGATCACAATGTTGCCTGGTTTTCAAAAAAGGAAAGAGAAAAAAAGAGAGAGGAAAGACAAAGGAAAGGATGTCACTCTGTAACCCAGTTTTTCACCAAGAAAGGGGGGCAGCCTTTAGTCTGTGGGTGGTGTTAACCTGTTGGCTTAATGTCCACAGTGAAATAAGCTAGCTAGCTGTAGACTAGTGTTAGCCTACATTTCATCAACATTTAATTAGTACAGGGAAACGTTTAGCAAGATATTCATGTGAAATCATTGTCCCTGCCCCTTTTAGCAGACTAACAACAGATGAGTCAGCGGCACCCCAGTCTCCCCATAACTGTAGCCTCCCTGTCCCAGTGAAGAAGGGGAGCAGCACGGTGTTAATGACATGACAGTTAGCATCACTCCAGGGAGTCTGTGGGGATTTCTCTCTCTTGCTCTTTTTATCATAACAAAAAAGAAAATGAAATATTTATTAATGACAATGAAATTATTTTCTCACATAATGATCATTTTGAAATAAATAAAATAAAAATACACCTTCCTGTCTGTAGTGGATGCTGGACAGCAGCTTACCTCAGCCTGCATGGAAGTTACAGACTATATTAAAATAATCCACTTTGATACGTTCATTTAGATTGAATTATGGCCGTTAATGACATCTATAGATACAGACTTTATTATTCCCATCATGAAGGGCTATTAATTTGAGAAGCAAATATTGAACTGCGCCTGTATGCAGAATTGCATGTACAAATCACCAGCAGTAAATATTGTGCTAGTACTAGTATTGAACTACAAGAAGCCAGACACTTGCAAGCCTTTAATTAGAGTTATGTAAAGCTTTTGATGGGACAGTTAAGTCCTAGAGAAGTGGTGACAACAGCTGCGCAGAGGGGGCCCAATTAGATTTTTTTGTCAAGGGGCCCAAAATTCCTGGCGGCCCCCCTGCCTCTGAGCTGGTAACGTTGGTATTAACATAGACTGAACAATGTCAGTGTGAAAAGCCACAGCTGGCATGCCAGTGCTGTATTGCACGCAACGGTCTTTTTGTACGCTGCTGGGTCCGGAAAGCTGGATCGCTGTGAAAGCAAGCATGGTTGCACGATTATGCCGTCATTCATACTGAACAAAGTATTGGTGGATATTCTTTCTGCGTTTATTGTGGGATCTCTGAATGAAAGTGGCTAGGAAAATAAATCATGAGTAGCAGGAACATAAGGGATTGGACCCATTTGCAGACACTGGGGCAGAGCAGGTTCAGTTCAGTGGTATTTAATAATAAAATAAAAGGGTACTCACACTCGGGCAAAGTGAGGCAGGCAAGGGTCAAAACCAGAAAAACAGTACAAACAAGCTGACAAATCCAGAATACAGGCAAGGAAATAAGTCCAGAACTCAGAGAACAAAAAAACTAATGGCACATAGCAGGTATACTTGAACCCAGAAATGACAACTGGAATTGTAACTGAGTCAAGGGAACACACAGAATAAATACACTATTGAGGGGAGACTTCCTAGACACAGGTGAAACTTATCAGACCAGGGCAGACAATCAAACAGGTGGGAAAAACACACAAAGAGCAGTAAGGTTACACAAGGCACATGAGAAAGGACTCTTAACTTCAAACAGGACATACAAAACTAAAACCCAAAACCATGACAGACACAGGAGTCTTGTTGCAACTATCCTCTTTTATAACATTACCTGTGAGTGTCAATCTGTTACTTACTTCTCTTACTTGCATTTTCTGCCTTTTAAGTTGTTGTATCTACAATTAGATAGCCAGACCAATCAACTTAATGTAGGCCTGCAACTTATGGGTCAAAAATATTTAGAACAAGACACACTAACAGCTCTGTGAGGTGTAACTGTACTACTCTGGTGTTAACATGCTGCTGTTTAGCACGTAATGTTTATTAAAATGACATAATTCATATAATGTTATAAATGATGATATAATATAAGAAAACGAAAAAACAATTGAATTTAGACATAATGAAATGTCAGAGGATCAGAAATTATTACAATTCATCCTGAGGAATGTGATTTTTTGATAAACAATCTAAAGTGATGTGAAGTAAGGGAATGCAGCAACTGAGCAAAATGAGTGAAATTAAAAAGTGAATCTTTGTCCACACAGGGTAACCCGGACACACCAGCACCACCAGACCCATCCATGGCCCAGGCTTACCCATCAGCCCAGTTTGCCACCCCTCCCCAGAATGGCATTCCAGCTGAGTTCACAGCTTCACACCCCCATCCACATCCACACCCCCACCAACATCCACACCAACACCCAGCAGTACCACAGGACTACAGCGGGGTCCAGGCCTCCGTCAGTGAGCATCCACTCAACCTTTACCAGTCCTCACAGAGCCACAGTGAACAGAGTGGGTCAGACTCCAGCAGTCAGACGGTCACCGGCACAGCCACAGTAAGGCAACATGGGTGAAGCTGGTGTTTAAATTGATGATAGCTGGGTTATAGAGTTTGATTTTTCTGTGCTGTACCATGTTTAATTATTATCTGCAGTATCCCTCCATCTTCAAACCCAGGTGAAACTCCTCCCATCAATTCTATTGTTCCTGATGTGACTAATCAGCAACGTCTTTTATCCAAACTCGTCTTCTACAGGTGCATCTTAGAAAATTTGTACTTGTCCGGGGCTCCTTTTGCACGAATTACTGCATCAGTGCCATGTGGCATGGAGGCAATCAGCCTGTGGCACTGCTAAAGTGTTATGGAAGCCCAGGTTGCTTAGCGGCCTTCAGCTTATCTGGATTGTTGGGTCTGGTGTCTCTCATTTTCTTCTTGACAATACCCCAGAGATTCTCTATGGGGTTCAGGTCAGGTGAGTTGGCTAGCCAATCAAGCACAGTAAGCATGGTCAGCAAACCAGTTACTAATCGTTTTGGCACTTCACTTAATTTAACATCAGCTTGAAAGCAAATGAAAACACAAATAATTTTTTTTTTTTTATTTAAAAAAAATTCAGGCGTTAAGGGGTTAAAGGGTCCGATCCTCTAGGCCTATGGGTATTACCTTATTAGGTATAAGTGAGGACTGTTTAAGCTGGTGTCGAAGAGATTCGCCTAGCTTCTAACTGTCTTCTTCCGAACGCCTGCTTACTCTGAAATGGCACCTGACTGAATAGCCCTAGAGCCAAATACCACCCCAGCCACGCCCGTTAACGACAGCTCTCTTCTCATTGATCAGTGCACTTGGTATAGTTGCTAGGATTGTATTTAGTGGCCAGGAAAATAGGCCCCAAGGATACGTTAATTTCGTTGGCTAGAGCAACCTATAAGAACCTTAAAGATGTTAAACACACTTTACTTAATGCATTATGACCTTAGTGAAGAAATAAATTCAATGTCTAGTACTGGTACTTTAAATGCAATGGTAATATATTTTATTGCAAAATTAAGCAAGGGCAAGCATACAACTTAAACTGATTAAAACCTAAGTAAACTGATAAAATCTCTAAAATTCAAAACCTGATTATAATAGCTGAGCTTGAGTATTTTGATGTCATCTTTTGGAGAGAAAGGGAGGGGAAGGAGTTGCCCTGGCCAAGGAGTTCTTTCCCTCTTCTGCGGATCTGTAGAGTCTTGTAGAAACTCAAGACTTTGTCCAAAGCCCTCAAATTGTCTCCAAGTCTTCAGTCTTCGTTGCAGTTGAGAAAGAGAAAAGCTTCAGAGTCCGATGATACTTCAGTTGGTTTGGTCGTTGTGGTTACCCTCTGTGGCTCGATCTCTTGAAGATCACATCACATTCTCTTTAAGTCCCCTAAAGAAACCTCTGAAGTGTTCTCTAGTTGTTTGCTGTTCAAATCCCCATCTCTTGTCTTGGGCTCTTGGTCCGGTGCGGTGATGGTCTTGCTCCGAGTACGATACCTCTGAGATCTGCAGAGGAATAACCCCGATCTCTCTCTGACTCTTTATATATCCTACTCCGTAGCTGAGTTTCTTTGTCAAATCAGCCACCACCCTTTTCCTGTCTACGTGACTACTGTCACATAGCTTGTTCATCCGTTAATTCATTTGGGCCAGAGATGTCCTTATTTGGCCATTTCATTTCCCCTTGCTGACCCTTCTCTCCCAGTGACTCATAGTCATGATGTCTTCACCCACTTAGCGACCTTTTGCACAGTTATTTAACCTTTACCCTAATTCTCCTTACTTTAACCATATTATGTATTTTACAATCGGAAGATCAATTCAATTTATTAATCTTAAATATCAATGAGATATCCTGATTTTTAATCATCATATCATGTTTAATACCAAATATCTTTCTTTTAATTATTATTCAATATATTGCTTATAGCATTGTTAAGCTCTGTGATTTGCAGATGGAAGTACGTTGCACTTCTCTTTTCTCACTCACTGTTGTTACTAAAGGGAGAAAGGCTCCAGTTTTCTTCTTTGCGACCTGATAGCAAGAGTGTTGGGATCTCAACTTATTTGACACTGCATTGACTCTGGACTTGATCAAATACAGTGGACCAACACCAGCAGATGACATGGCACCCCAGATCATCAATGACGTTGTAAACTTCACACTGGACATCAATCTGTGCCTCTCCACTCGTCCTCCAGACTTTGTCACCTTGATTTCCGAATGAAACGCAAAATGTACTTTCATCTGAAAAAAAGTACTTTGGACCCTGAGCAACAGTCCAGTTCTTTTTCTCCTTAGCCCAGGAAAGATGCTTCTGACATTGTCTCTGCCTCAGGAGTGGCTTCACACTAGGAATGTGACACTTGACACTTGTAGCTTTCCTGGACACGTCTGTGCGTGGTGGGTCTTGCCTGCATTGACTCCAGCCTCAGTACACACCTTATGCTGCTCCTCCAAGCTCTTGAATCGGCTTTGCTTGACAATCCTCTCAAGGTTGGGGTCATCCCCGTTGCTTGTGCACCTTTTCCTACCATACTTTAACCTTTCAGTCAACTTTCCATGAATATGCTTTGATTACAGCAATCTGCGAATGGCCAGCCTTTTCAGCAGTGACCTTCTGTGACTTACCCTCTTGTGGAGGGTGTCAATGAGTGTCTTCTGGACAATCAGAAGTCTTCCCCGTGATTGTGGTTGTGAGTACTAAACCAGACTTTTCAGGTCCCCAATTCTGTATTATACGTTATTTATTCTGATATTCTAATATTTTGAGATGTGGATTTTTGGTTTCCGTGAGCTATAAACTGTAATAATGAAGATTCAAACAAAAAAGGCTTTTATTATTTCACTTTATGTGTAATGAATGTAGAAAATATGGAAGTTTCACTTTTTGACTTAAATTATGGAAAAAAATTAACTTTTCACGATATTCTAATTTTCTCAGATGCACCTGTATAACAGGGCTGCTAGGACAGGCAACCTGAAATCCTTATTATTGGTGACTCCATTGTCAGATATGTTGATCTCCCAGGCTCAATCGTCAAACAGTTACCAGTACCTCATCCGTCTCATCCCCCAGCTGTTCACATGGCTATCAATGACATCGTGGATAAACAATCATTTAAACTCCACAATCAACTACTGTCTCTTGCAATCACAATCTAGGGCCAGGGTTAGGGTTAGGGTTACCCTTTTCACATCCCATTCCCGCTCTTTTAAAAAGCCCTGAACGTTTCAGCTTTCTTATTAGTCTTAGGCTGTCTTATTAGTCTTCATTAGCCACAATGGTGTTAAACAACTTACTAAGAACTTCATCCTATTGCTTTTAATTCTGACTGACACCAATCTCAGCACAACCCTGTCCCAGAAGTCACTCCAGTCCATAATGACAAGCATCTCTCTCTGGTAGAGCCCGAACGATTTATCGGCCGGTCAATATTATCGGCCAATATTCAATTCAATACAATTCAATTTATATAGCGCCAAATCACAACAACAATTATCTCACAGCGCTTTTCATAAAAGAGCAGGTCTAGACCGTACTCTATGATGCTATTTACAGAAGCCCAACAGTTCCCACCAAGAGCAGCACTAGGCGACAGAGGCAAGGAAAAACTTCCTTTTAAGAGGCAGAAACCTCGAGCAGAACCATGGCTCAGGGTGGGCGGCCATCTGCCTCGACCGGAGAGAGAGAGAGAGAGAGAGAGAGAGAGAGAGAGAGGGCAGGAGAGCAATAGAGAGAAAAAGAGAGGGATGGAAGGAGAGAGAGGGGAGGGAGGCAGCCTACACAATATACACACACAGAGGTACAGACAGTAAAGGTGATGTTGCTATAGACTAAATGAAAAATGGTACAGATATTTATAGTAGTGTTAATGATAACAATCATAATGTTAATGATTATTATAACAATAAGACTAGCAACAATAGTCGTTGCAGCAGAGGGTGTCGAGCAGGAACACGGGGGCAGCAGGTGACCCGCAACCACAGATCCAGACTCCACAGCTCCAGAGCCAGAAACACCTGCAGGAAGTGATAGGAGGAGAGAGGAGAGGGACGAGAAAGCACAAGACTACCGGAAAGAGGAGAAGTTGTGTTAGTAACATGCAATAATGGGATGAGGTTGCATACAGAGGGAGAGAAAGTAGAGGAGAGAGGAGCTCAGTGCATCATAGGAAATCCCCCAGCAGTCTAGGCCTATAGCAGCATAACTAAGGGATGGTTCAGGACTCACCTGAGCCAGCCCTAACTATAAGCTCTATCAAAGAGGAAAGTCTTAAGCCTACTCTTAAATGTGGAGATGGTGTCTGCCTCCTGAACCCAAACTGGAACCTGGTTCCACAGGAGAGGAGCTTGATAGCTGAACGCTCTGGCTCCTGGTCTACTTTTGGAGACTCTAGGAACCACAAGTAACCCTGCATTCTGGGAGCGCAGTGCTCTGGTGGGGTAGTAAGGTACTATGAGCTCTTTAAGATAATATGGTGCCTGACCATTAAGAGCTTTGTAGGTAAGAAGAATGATTTTAAATTCTATTCTGGATTTTACTGGAAGCCAATGCAGAGAAGCTAAGACAGGAGAAATATGATCTCTTTTCCTGGTTCCTGTCAGAACACATGCTGCAGAATCTGGATCAGCTGAAGAGTCTTAATGGACTTTTTCGAGCAGCCTGATAATAAGGAATTGCAGTAATCCAGCCTAGAAGTAACAAATGCATGGACTAGTTTTTCTGCATCATTTTTAGACAGGATGTTCCAGATTTTCGCAATATTATGTAGGTGAAAAAAGGCGGTCCTTGAAATTTGCTTAATGTGAGACTTAAACGACATGTCCTGATCAAAGACTAATCCAAGATTCCTCACAGTGGTGCTGGAGGCCAGGGCGATGCCATCAAGGGAAACTATATCTTTAGATAATGCGTCACGGAGGTGCTTGGGCCCCAGAACAATAACTTTTGGCACATTTGAAGTTTAGCTAACTGATGAGTTTCATCTGGCTTGATCGATAGAAATAACTGAGTATCATCTGCATAACAAT